GGAAGGAGGAAGGAGGTTAATGTGGTGATGTGACGGCACAGGCCAAAGTTGTTCCAGATGCTATAAGCAAAACTGACTTTAGAACATAATCTGTATTACTAGTTTCTATAATCTGGAGACTGGACTCCCAATTATTTTTCTGTCCCAACTGATAACATATCAGGTTCCTGGGAGTATGAAGAAAGACAAATAACTGTTTTACACTATATTGTCTGATGCTGAGATCCGGCTATGGCTGGATGCAGAGACAGGTTTTCTTTTAGTAATTCAGGACAATTTTGATCAGCTGGACAAAATTCAACACAAACAGTGGTTTCCATAGGATTTTGAGGCTCATTTCCCATATTTTAGCAGTTTGTTTACACACAGAATTGAGGGCTACTCTACACGTTACAAAATTCCTACACCAGAGAACTTGTATGTAAGAAGTAATGCATTACACATATATGCATTGTACCATAAGATGACCCTACATATGTGTATGTCATTACAATATATGAACAATGCTGTCCTAAAACTACTTTCCTAGGAGTAAGCCTGATTATATAGACCTGAATATGATTCGAGTAGACCTGCTTGGGATTGATCTCTAAGTAGCCTTATTAAGCAAAGTACACAGTAAGTAATTTATATCTACAAAATAAGTGTAGAAAGCTACTGAATCTAATTGGTAGTTGGTTCCCTTGATTACTGAGAAGATGATTTACAAATATTTCTATGTTTCTGTTTTGAATTTTACAATTAGCTTTCACAAGCTAACAAAGAGTGCCATTTTACATCTTTCATGGCAGGTCTTCTGAAATTTGCAAATGACAAAAATATGATTGGAAACAAGTTTCAGTCTATTTCACTGGGTCAAGGTCAAGGACCAATAGCAGCAAAAATGATTAAACAAGGAATGGAGGAAGGAACCTGGGTTTGTTTACAAAACTGCCACCTTGCTGTCTCCTGGATGCCAATGCTAGAGAAAATATGTGAAGACTTTAACAGTGACACGTGCCACCCCATTTTCAGGCTCTGGCTGACTAGTTATCCATCACCAAAGGTAATTATAATTCCACAGATACCTTAAAGGTAAACAATAGTTGTATTCTATAGTATTTTATTTTTACGTTATAGTCTGCCTTTCTCACTGAGATTCAAAGCAGATTAGACTGTGTAAATCAATGCAATCAATAGGATGAGACCGCTAATGAGCAATGTAATAGAACTAGGCTAAAACAAAACATCCCTATTATGATTTGATATGCAACAATATGGTATGATATGATAAGTAATACAGAAAATGGTATTACATGAATATAAAAACAAAGCAGTGAAAGTAGGATAATACATACAGCAGACAAATAATACATACTATACATGGTTATATAGTGTTGGCAGAGTGGTTAACACAGCAACGGTGCACAACCTGATTAAAGAGTAGATAAAGGTGTATTTTGGAATTAATATACTTGATAGGAAAGCGGAGAGACAGAGATAGGCTCCAAACTACATCTCTAGCTGAGAGAAAAAGGGTAAGACTGAGTGCAGCACTTCCAAGAAGAAGGGGGAAATCGCCTTAAGAGTAGCAATCTGGAGACAGATAAGGAATGACACTTAACAAGAGCCCCCTGTAGGGTCTTCTTCTCTTTTTCTTTGTATACCAGACATTGCCTTCCCAACATAGAGTTCCTATTCCTTTTATAAAAGCACTTTCCTGAGCCATTTTGTTATAATATAACCCTATTAAGGTAAAGGTAAAGGTTCCCTTGCTCGAAAGCCAGTCGAATCCGACTCTAGGGTTGCGGTGCTCATCTCCGTTTCAAAGCCGAAGAGCCAGTACTGTCCGAAGACGTTTCCGTGGTCATGTGGCCGGCATGACTAAACACCAAGGCGCATGGAACGCTGTTACCTTCCCACCGAAGTGGTACCTATTTATCTACCGTACTTGCAATTTCTTGCTTTTGCTCATAAAAATGTTCTCCTGAACAATTCTGTTATACATTGTTTGCCGAATGACAGAAGCATGGGAATCCTCCTGTCTACTTCAAGCAGGCCATTGAAGAAAGTGGGAGGGGGGGACAAAAAAGAATACACATGCATGTATATAAGTAGTGGTTGGTCTTGCCCATTTATATGGTGGCACCCACTTAAGGCCCTAATCAGATGCATGAAGCTGTTGTGGTGGAGCCCAGCAGGAAAGGTGTTCCTGTAAATAAGATTCAAGGCCATGAAGGGCTTTGTATGCCACAGCTAGTACCTTGAATTGAACTCTGTAACTGATGGACAGCCAGTGAAGTTAATTGCAGAATGGGTTTAGTGTGCATGTTTCAACTAGCTCCCAACAATAACCAAGCTGTGGCATTCTGTATCAACTAGAGTCTCAGAGCTGGCTTCAAAGGCAGGCCCACGTAGAGTGCATTACAATAGTCTAATCTCGTGCTACTATGGCATGGATCCATACAGCTAGATCAACTGAGTTAAGACAGAGGGCCATGAAGTTGGAAGAAAGGCTTGTTTGCAGCTTCATTTACTTGATTCTCCAGCAGTAATGCTAGATCCAGTATAACCTCTAGGCTCTTAACCAAATCAGCAAGGGTCAGTTGAACCCCACCAAAGGTGGAATGCACAGTGTCCTTCAAGACCTCAAGCTTTCCAACTAGCATTATTTCCATCTTGTCAGGGTTCAGTTTCAATTAATTCACTCTTAGCCATTTAACATCAGGCAGTGACACAGGAACTCTACTGCATCACCAGGAAATTTGGACAGAGAGATGTAGAGCTGGGTGTCATAAACATATAGATGACACCCAATTCCAAAGCTATGAATGATTTATCCTAAGGATTGTTTTATAAGTGCACTATACAATTGGGGTCTATTCAGACAAACAGTCTTAATCTTTAAAGTGTCTAAGGCTGCAATCCTAAAGGATTAAGCCCTATTGAATAACATGGGATTTACTTTTGCGTAAACCTACTTATGATTGCTCTTACAATGTCACAATGGTATTTTGCATTTTTCCTAAAAATATAAAAATAACCGTAAACCTCTTTGTTGTATAAATGATAATTAAGAACAGGAATCTTCTAATGCAGTACTGTTTGCCATTTTATTTTGTCTAGTTTCCAGTAACTATCCTACAAAATGGTGTAAAGATGACAAATGAGCCTCCTACAGGTCTTCGATTAAACTTGCTTCAATCTTACATGTCTGACCCTATTTCTGATCCCAGTTTTTTTGCTGGGTGCCCTGGAAAGGAACTGGTAATTTTCTCTCAACAATTTTTATGTGATGATTAATTAGTATTAGTCGTGGGTTTGATTGGTAAAGATTCTGATCTAAGATGTGACCTTAAATGGAAGTGTGATATTTCACATGGATATCAAAACACATTGTGTAGTTTAGCTCTTTAAATGCTTTCCTGGAAGTAAATAACTTATTCTAGGTAACTCTAAAATGGGGCACATAATACCCACCCTGGGCCGTTTTTGCTATGGAGAAATGGTGTGGGGAAGGCAGGAACCCCTCCTCCACCCATGCTGAGGTCCTGAGCGGAACCAGGCCCTCAAGGGGTTTAAAAATGATGTTCTCCACAGCTACGGTGTGTTTTCAAGGGGACCTAGACCCAACTAGTTGAAAAATGCATTGTGTAATTTGGCTAGGATTGCCAGCTCCAGTTGGCAACCATATGCAGCCTAATTGTTCCAATGAATCAATACAAAGAATTTCCATATGTGGGCACATAACTGGTGTATGAAAAGATAGGGGACAACTCTTGTAACCAACAAACTGAGACATTGAGCATAGAGTCTGTAGTACTGATGGTGGAGGGACTAATGAGTTATATAAGTAATCTACCAGATAACCCCAGGTACTGTGCTGTATCTAGCAACCCAGTTCCACAGATGGTAGAGGTTTTCACAGCCTAGAGTCTTGCACTATGGTATGTAGCCTCTCCCATTGGCAGAATACTCCTTTCACTGAAGGAAAGCTCCACTGTCAGTGAAATGGTGTCATTGGAGACAGCCCATTGTATAGTGAAGATATTGTGAAAGATATAATGTATCCAGTTACTTAAAGATAGATATGCTTCCTTCAGTGCAATTTCCCTTTTCCTTTTTCCATTTTGGTGAACTAATTATTTGCTTTCTCCCCCCCCCCCCCCAAAAAAAAAAAAAGAGATGGGAGAAGCTGCTGTTTGGAGTTTGCTTTTTTCATGCCCTTGTTCAGGAGAGAAAGAAATTTGGGCCTCTTGGATGGAATATTCCATATGGATTTAATGAGTCAGATTTGCGTATCAGTGTAAGACAGCTGCAGGTAAATTATGTATTTTTCTATAACAGACTTCAAAGTGTGGTAGAGGGTCATAAACTGTAAGCCCAGTTTTATGAATTGATGCGTGATCATAACAATTCATATGACTGCGTGTTAGGATTCAAATGTTGGTACAGATTCTCATCTGGCTGTCTTGCACAGGCAATGAGACCTGACTCCAGCCTCTGCATTGGTTTGGCAAGTGCTGTTTAAGGCTGCTATGCTGTTGATGGCTGGCAGTCTCTATGCGGCACAGCTGTGGTGTATAGAAAGCTTACAGTGGCTTGTGGATGAGGTTACAATGGTCCCTTGTGCAGGATCCTAATGACTTTCGGAGCAGCACCAAAACTCCCGGTAGCTGGAGCAAATCCAAGTAAATCAGTTGGATCATGGGATATACAGTTTTCAGCAACTCCCTGTGGGCATTCAGCCAATGATTAGCTAAATGAACTAAATCATTACTTGAAATTAAACGAAATTGAGAAACTGAATTCAGCATAGTCCTCAGAATGCATATAAAAATCTTATAAAATATAGGGAATGCTCTGCTGGGGTGTGGATTTCAAGGTGAAATTGTATTAGTAAAGTTAATAATATTAGAAAAAGGAGCCTGTTTCTTGATTGTTCATTTTCACATTTAATACCATAACTTGACAACTGCAGCAACACCAAGCCATAGTATGATTTGAACTCTTTTAAATCTACTGTTTCATTTTCTATTTCAGTTGTTCATAAATGAATATGAGCACGTCCCATTTGAAGCAATATCTTATCTTACGGGGGAATGTAACTATGGAGGAAGAGTGACAGATGATTGGGACAGGCGGCTACTGCTGACTATGCTTGCTGACTTTTACAGCCCAAATATAATTGAAGATGCTCATTACAAATTTTCTCCTAGTGGCAACTACTATGCCCCACCAAGGAGCACCTATGATGAATATATTGAGTTTATTAAGGTACCAACTTGCCTCTTTTATTCAAAGAACATACTGGAAATAACACGACATGAACACAGTTGAATCAGATTTCTGTGTGCACATTTTTTCATTAACAACTAGCCATATGGAGATTTTAAAGTTCTGAATAAAATACATTGTTAAGCACATTTCTGTCTTAACAAATAGAAAGCTGATTCCAACCTAGAAACTGCTAAGAGACAGTGATCCATGTTGATTCACTACATATATTTAGTTTAAATGTCTGATTTCATCCATAATCAGGAAGGAATGTCAGAAGCAGTTAACAGTGACTGTTGGTGGTGGAAAGTGGCATCAAGTAACAGCTGACTTAAGGCAACCCCCAAAGGGTTTTCAAGGCAAGAGGCAGTCAGAGGTGGTTTGCCGTTGCCTGCCTCTGCATCGCGACCCTGGTATTCCTTGGAGGTCGCCATCCAAATACTAGCCAGGGCCAACTCTGCATGGCTTCCGAAATTGCTGACAAGATTGGGCTAGCCTGGGCTAGGCAGGGGATATATACCTCTTACAGTCTGAACCTGTGCATGCTTGATTGGAAAGGAGTCTCACTGTTTTCATTGGGGGCTGTTCCCATGTAGGTATGCACAGGATTGCACCTTGAGCCATGCAATTGTTTTTGCTGTTTTATACATCAGACTTTTCCTACTTCTTCTGGATCGTCAATCCACTGGATCTCAAATGTTATATACCTCCTCCAAAGTGCTCAACATCTCTATTTACGTACTTTATTTATTTATAGTCTACCTTTCTCACAGACACTTGAAGCTTCACATACAGTTATCTCTCAATGTTGTTATCTCTGTACTGCCTATGGGAAGCTTCAGGCTGTAAAATGGAAACTTGCCTAGGGTTGCCTAGTGAGCTTACAACAAAGGTCCACAGTTTAGCCTTTTAGCCTCTAGGCTACATTACTTGAATACAGGAGCATCTCAGATCTGTGAAGCAGAGTAATGAGAGCAGGTTTAACTCAGCCAAAGATGCGTGTCCCTATGCTTTACAGATCAAAAGACCTTTTGGCCATTAGACTCCCTTGTTTTCGGTAGCCACCCAAGATGGACATTGAAGGAACAGAGCCAGATGAAAAAGAAAGAGATGGATGTCATAAGAATTGACATCTTGTGTACTAATTTACCTGGGATGGTAGCTGTTTCTCCCCTTTTCACTCTCCCATTCAATGCAAACAGAATCACCTCAACAAATAGCTGCCACGCCTGTCATTGCACCAGTTTTGGTTAAAAGTTATTAGACTTCTTTGTTTAGCCTTTTCTGACCCACTTTGTGAAGTTGGTGTGTTTTGTTTTAGAATCTGCCTTTTAGTCAACAGCCAGAGATATTTGGATTGCATGAAAACGTAGATATCTCAAAGGATCTCCAGCAAACAAAAATCCTTTTTGAATCTCTGCTACTAACGCTAGGAGGGAGTACACAAGGCGGATCCTCAGGCAGTTCGGACAGCACTTTGTATGAAATTGCAGATGACATCCTGAGCAAGGTAATAAAACCAGATTCATTATTTTATTTATTTACTTATTCAATTTGTACCCCACCCTCCCCACGAGCAGGCAATAATTAATTAATTATTGTATGAAAACACGAGAAATTATTCCGTTAGTGCTAATTTGGTTCCATTTTGTATTATTTCATACTTCCAAGGGTATACTGGCTTTTTAATTTCCAGGGAAATGTCCCTATAGACCCACTGGCCACCAGGATGAAACAGAACCAAGCACCAGCAACTCTACTGATGCCTTGGATGCTGCTTGGCTCAGACCCTTCAGGAGCAATGATAATCGGTGTATACTCACCACTTGTGTCTACTGCTAGTTTGTGGAAGGAGCCAATGCCTATTGTTGATGTTGCTGGGCTGCACTGCATGGGCCTCTTAGCTGGCCTTGCTCCTGGGCTACCAATTTAGCATACCTCCCACCCTTTCCTTCCCCATCCAGAGGCTGCGACTTTGCAGGATGACTTTCCTTGGGAGAAAAAGACTATAAATGATAATTATTGCATAGTGTTCAGACTGAACAGGTATTAGGGGAGTGCTGAAGCAAGTAGGCAAGTACTAGATTCTGAAGCAAGTGCTGAAGCAAGTAGGCAGCTAAATCAGTCCAGTCCCTCAAAATTTATCATCTCAAAACGGCTGCCTCCTAGATCCTTTTTTCTAGACACAAACAGGTTTCAGCCCCACACTGGAACTGCAAGATGCCCTCCTGGTTCATACCTCCCTGTCAGGATAACCACTTTGTATAATACAACAGCAGGACTCACAGCATTGTTCTTCGTTGTCTCCTTTGTTGCCACACTTCTCTGTGCATCTGTGGGACAAAAGTAGCAAGAGACAAATCAAACTTGTTTACATCAGAACAGGCATGATGCTTTGTGTCATTTTGAACAGCAGGCTAGTATGCTTCATTTACTTCTAGATAGACACTTTGGTTTGTTATTTCAAGTGGCAGTCCCAAAGAGGATCACGATTCTTTACAATGTGTGTCCAAATAATGAGAGACATAACAGGAAACATAGTACCTCTTCGATGAACTACGAACAAACTCCAAAAGTGGAGCTATGTTCAGAGACAGAACCTGGGTAAGGTACAGGTTGACCAGCTATTCTTGGTATACTTTCGAGAAAACAACTGTTTCAAACATATCTTTATTTAAATATTATTTTACCATGTTCTCCTATTCAGCTAAATTGTTCATATTTGAGTCATTTAGTTTATTCAGTTTGCTTTTAATGTTAATTTTGAATTATTATGAATTAAAGTCTGATTTACATTGCCAAATGGAAGCAAATATATCAAACTTTCTAGCTTCCAAAGGATTTTGACATTGAAGCTTCACTACTTAAATATCCAGTGAGATACGAAGAGAGTATGAACACTGTGCTGGTACAAGAGATGGAGCGCTTTAACAAGTAAGGGAATGATTATTTTTAAAATTATTATGATTATGATGTATTTTGGTCATTCTCTTTTGTCAATTGGCAGACATTCATCTCGTATGGATTTTATATTGTGAGAACACATTTGTGTTATTGGCAGAAACTAAACTGGATTAGAGCACGAGGTAGTAGTTGCCAGTCTTCCAGTAATATAGAGGCACATTAACAGACTGAGGGGAAAGGATTACTAGGAAAGGAAGCACATGTTAAAAAAGGGACAAATGACCCAAGAATACCAGAGAATTATCCTTCCAAAGTTTAGCAGCAAGGGTAGAAATCTAAGAACAGGATTAATTGTTCTCTTTTTACACTGGAGAAAACAGCAAGTAGTCCCATAGATTCACATTCCTAAAGGAGGAATTAAGAAACGAGAGAAAATTTAATCAGCTTGTTTTATATCATAGGTTATATAATTGAAAATATCTAGATAAATGATCAGGGCTTTTTTCTGGGGGAATGCGCTGGAACAGAGTTCTAGGACCTCTTTAACAAAATTCTTTTAAAAATGTTTACAAGTTCATGAGTTTTCAGTATACAGACTGAAAACTTCATTTCCCTCTTGAGTGTTCTGGCACTTTTTTTGTTTTTAACCCAGGGTCTGATGTAGATGTGATAGGCAATCTGTGTGCAGGAAGTTACTATGAATATGGGGGTAAAGTATCATTTGAATAGTAGTCTACTATTTAAAATACTATTAATCTTACAGAAGCAGGTTACACAGTTGTTGTGTGGCCATCTTAATATTATTTTCTGAGATTAGTAGATAGTAAGTGAAATCCTGCCCTGCCCTGGATAGCCCAGGCTAGCACAGTCTTGTCAGATGTTGGAAACTAAGCAGGGTCAGCCCTAGCTAGGGTTACCATCCCCTGATGGGTGGGGTTCCCTTGCTTTCAGGGCTTCCAATCAGCCACTCGCCAGCTGGCTGGGGGGGCAAGCCCCACTCCTGAAGAGCCCTGGCGTGCCCGGTGTATCTGGTGCGATGCCGTCACCCGGAGGTGCTATCATGTGGGGGACACTCTAGCATTTTGGTAAAAACTCTATGGTGACCATAGAGGCCCCCCTCCAAATGCTAGAATGTCCCCTGAATGACATGCTCAGCGCGATGATGTCACTTCTGGGTGATGTTATTGCAGCATGTGCGCTTTGTGTGCGCATGAGAAGACCCCAGGATCCAGGCTGGAGCCCCCCACTGGGACCCTAGTAAGACCTGGCAACCCTAGCCCTAGTTAGTTATTGGATGGGAGAACTCCAAGGAATACCAGGGTTGTAACGCAGAGGCAGGCAATGGCAAACCACTTCTAAACATCTCCTACCCTGAAAACTCTACAGGTTGCCATAAGTCAGCTGTGACTTCATGGCATTTTCCACCACCAAGGGAAATCCTGAACAAAGTTACACTCCATTGAAGTCAAGAAGGCTGTAACTCTGCTTAGGATTGCACTGCATGTCTTGTAAGTCATTTAAAACTGTTGTTTTACTGATCTCTGCCCATTTCTGCACATTTAGTTTGATACGAACCATACGTACTACTTTGATGAATTTAAAGAAAGCCATTAGAGGACTGGTTGTGATGGATTCTGAGCTAGAGGCACTTTGTGCCAGTCTTCTTATTGGAAAAGTTGCAGAGAACTGGGCTAAGCGTTCATACCCAAGCCTGAAACCATTGGGGAGTTATATCTTGGATTTCCTAGCTAGGCTGAAATTTTTACAGGTAATGCAAGAAAGATTGTGTTACAAATTATTGTGAGTTCCTGATTACTAAATTGCATTAATAATATCTTTATGAAATTTATCTTGAACTAGCATTATTTTGTAAAACATGATCATTTAAAGCTAGCATTTTAAAATATATTTTTATATTCGTCTTCCAAGGATTGGTATGAATCTGGGAAGCCCTGTGTGTTTTGGCTGTCAGGATTCTTTTTTACACAAGCATTTTTAACTGGTGCCATGCAGAATTATGCCCGGAAATACACCATCCCCATTGATCTACTGGGATATCAATTTCAGGTACCGTTAGACTGTGAAGGCTACATTTTATGAAGTAGGACACTGATTTACCGGCAGAATGTATTGGTGGGCTCTTGTTTTCATAGATAGACTTTTGCATCGACACCTGTTATGATAAGACATACTGCTTGAACCAAAGGAGCTTTGACTCTCAAAAGCTTATGTCCTGGAAGTCTTGTTGGTCTTAAAGGTGCTACTGGACTCTTTGACTGCAGACCAACGTGGCTGTCCTCTGAAAATGCTTTAACAAAGTATTTAAATTAGTGTGTGCATGTGTATATATCTATATTAGGGTTGCCAAATCGTTCTTACCTCGCGGTGGGGGGCTCCCGTTCGGTGTCTTGAGTGTGCGCGCTTTGCGCACGCGCGCCGCATGCACGTCACCCAGATGTGACGTGATGACGCCAGGCATGCTGGGGGCGGGGCCACAGCCATTTGTGGGGAAAACATAGAGTTTTCCCCTCAAATGGCTGTGGCCCCGCCCCCAGCGTGCCTGGCGTCATCACGTCACATCCGGGTGACGTGCACGCCGGGGTGGGGTTCCCCCCGGGGCCCGATTCCACAGCGGCAGAAATCGGGCCTCCAAAGCTGGGGAAAATCCGCCCCCCGGGGGGAATTGGCAGCCCTAATCTATATAGTTGGGGGGATGGTATATGTTTCTGCAAACTCAGGGTAAAGCCCCAGGTTTGCAAAAAATAAAAAAGCATGATAGGTAAAAGAGCAATTATTGGGGGTCAACCTCCACCTCAAATAAGCAAGTGTATAAACAGTACCCTGCTGAATCAGGGCAGTGATTCGCAGGACATATAGGGAAAGACATTCCCCTAATGTTGCTTCCTAAAACTGATATTTGGAATTTACTGTTTCTGGATGTGGAGGTTCTCGGTAGTTCTTTGTAGTCATCCTGGGAAGTAGCAATATATGTGCTTGTGTAGGCATCATTTTTTTTTTAAAAAGGTGACGTTTGACTTCATAGCAACCCAAGATGCTTCATGGAAATGTGAAAAAGTTGGGAGACAGGCATTCAGCCAGAGGAGGGGACACCAGGCAAGCAGCTAGGGGGAGGGAACCAGGCACTTGGGCAGATGAGTGGAGGTGACTGTGTGGGGTATGGAAAATAGGCAGTTGGCTAACGGGACAGGAGGTGGAATGAACAATTGATAGTGGAGAACAGGGGAATCAGAGCCACTTCAAGAGGGGAGGTAGTGCGGGGTTAGCTGTGGGGGGATAGGATTTCCTGATCCTATGAGTCCACAGGGGTCCCTGTGTGCATCAGTGTGTTGGTATACATGCAGAGCTGTAATTATTGTTGCTGTTGTGTTGATGAGCCTTTGGATCATCAGTTTCTCTGCATGGATTATCTAGGCCACTTTTGAAGGTGTAGCAATGTAGGGGAAAATATTGTCTAGTACACCTTGACTGAAGATACAGCCACTTTTCAGTAGCAATTTGCATTGGTGTGACAGCTGAATAACATGATGCTGCTCTGAAACAAATTGCTGTGGGATTGATGGCAGTCAGACATTGCTTTCTCCAGCACAGTTAGAGGAAGGGTGCTGAGCCCCTCCCCCCCACACACACCTTCTTCATAAGATCTCCCTGTACAATTTTCCCTTCAGATATCTATGTGAAGTAGGTTGTAAGTCACAGTAGCTCATACTGAAATTAATGTTGTTAGTCTTCAAGGTACAACTGGACTTTTATTTTATTTTGCTCCACATAGTGAAATTTCTCAAATGTGGATTCTCCCCCCTTTTACAGAGAGGGGTGTCACAGAGAATCATAGACCAGCACAGTTAGAGGAAGGGTGCTGAGCCCCTCCCCCCCACACACACCTTCTTCATAAGATCTCCCTGTACAATTTTCCCTTCAGATATCTATGTGAAGTAGGTTGTAAGTCACAGTAGCTCATACTGAAATTAATGTTGTTAGTCTTCAAGGTACAACTGGACTTTTATTTTATTTTGCTCCACATAGTGAAATTTCTCAAATGTGGATTCTCCCCCCTTTTACAGAGAGGGGTGTCACAGAGAATCATAGAATCATAGAGTTGGAAGGGACCTCCAGGATCATCTAGTCCAACCCCCTGCACAATGCAGGAAATTCACAAATACCTCCCCCCACCCCACCCCCTTGTTCCACACCCAGAACATGATAAAAAACCTCAGGCTCTCCAGCCAAATTGACCTGGAGAAAAGTTGCTTCCTGACCCCAAAGCATTTCCCTGGGTGTGTAAGAAAGGGCCCAAATAACTAAGCACTGATGCAGCCCTTCCTGCCCTCCTTCCCATGATCTGCCTAAGTTCACAGAATCTGCATGGCTGTCAGATGGGCCATTGAAAACCTCCAAAAAAGGAGAGCCCACCTCCTTCCAAAGAAGCCTGTTCCACTGAGGAACCACTCTGTCAGGAAGTTCTTCCTAATGTTTAGTCGAAAAACTCTTCCAATTTAATTTCAGCCCATTGGTTCTAGTCCAACCTTCTGGGGCAACAGAAAACAACCCCGTACCATCCTCTATATGACAGCCCTTCAAGTACTTGAAGATGGTGATCATATAACCTCTCAGTCGTCTCCTCTCCAGGCTAAGCATACCCAGCTCCTTCAACCTTTCCTCATAGGACTTGGTTTCCAGACCCCTCACCATTGTCATTGCACTCCTTAAATTGTTGCCCTTCTTAAATTGTGGTGCCCCAAACTGAATACAATACTCTAGGTGAGTTCTAACCTGAGCAGTGTAAAGTGGTACCATCACTTCACGTGATCTGGACACTATACTTCTGTTGATATAGCCCAAAATCACATTCGCTTTTTTAGCTATGGCATCCCATTGCTGACTCATGTTCAGTGTATGGTCTACTATGACCCCTAGATCCTTTTTGCACATACTACCGCCAAGACAAGTCTCCCCCTAACTAAATGCAGAACTTTACATTTATCCCCATTGAAATTAATTTTATTTGTTTATTTGTCAAGATCATCCTGTATCCTGACTCTTGTCTTCTACCGTATTTGTTACCCCTCCCAATTTAGTATCATCTGCAAGTTTAATAAGCATTCCCTCCATTCTTCATCCAAACCATTTATAAAGATGTTGAACAAAACAGGTCCCAGGACAGATCCTTGAGACATTCCACTTGTCGCCTCTCTCCAAGAGGATGAAGAACCATTCACAAGCACTCTTTGGGTGCGATCTGTCAACTAGTTACAGATCCACCTAACAGTCATAGGGTCCAAACCACATTTTACCAACTTGTCAACAAGAATATTATGTGGAACCTTATCAAAAACCTTACTGATATCAAGATAAACGATGTCTACGGCATTCCGCTGTTGCAGCAAGGTAGTAACATTAAAATACCTTGAGATTGTATTTTACAGTAAGAAGATTGTTAATTCATGCTTTTTAAACCTAAACCCATTATTTCAGACTGTGGATTTGAACGAAACTTACTTTGGTGTAATCATTCCCATCTGGGGAGAGTGATTATGATCAAGGGTTTCTGTATAGACTGCTAGTTCTGTTAGGGTACCGTGCACAGGAAAAAATCCCACACCTAGTACCCAAGTATGCATATGTAGAGTTTCCTGCTGGGACAAAGCTACATTTATACCATAACAAACATTTTGTTTTTTATCAGCTCTGATAGCACTAGTCAGCTGTTTGGGGATAGAGGTTTTTGATTCCAGGCTTGTAATTCCCCACTCCTCCTTAACGGGTGATCAGCGCTGTCAAACCTAACAGCACTAACTGTCTATTAAATGGAGTGATCCTCATATTTGTGCTGTAGTATACAGAATTAATATGGGGAAAGTTAAGATATAAAGCAAAACTGCTTTGGAAAAAGGCTAATTAATTCTGTTTCATTCAGGTTATTCCTCAGGATACTGCAAATGCTGCTCCAGCAGACGGTGTTTTTGTCAATGGACTATTTTTAGATGGAGCTCGCTGGGATAGAAAAAAGTCAGTAATTCAGTAAATGTGCTTGTTATTGTCATCTATGCTGTTCCCTGTGTTTCCTACATACCAATATACAGCTTCTTACAGTATTTTGACATCTTTTTAGTACATTTACAGCTATAATACTGTATCACTTTCTCTAACAAAAATGAAAAATAATGTGGATATATTACACGCAGTTTATCAAAACGTGTGTTAATCTTCTTTATAGGCAAATTTGGAAAACTGGGCAATCTTTTCTAACAGTTGTGAAATTCACACAACATATTATACAAGTATCACTTCCTGAAAAAAACCTGATCTTTCACCTAATGTCATCTGGAGCTGTTTCCCTGCTAATTTGAATGACTAAACAATGCATAAACTGTTTTGCTTGTGAAGACTGATTTTCTTCATGCGCATGCAGGAGCTCCCTTAGCACATCAGAACTAGGGCTGCCAAGTCGCCCCGGGGGGCGGGGAAAACCCCGCCCCAGAGGCCCATTCCCCGACGCCGGGGAATCGGGCCCCGGGGGGAACCCCGCCCCAGTCCCCGCCCCCAACGTGCCCGGCGTCATAACGTCAGTTCCTAGTGACGTGCATGCGGGGGGCGCGCACCGGGAGCCAGCCAGGAGTCCCCCGCGGAGGAGGTATGTGCCACTTGGCAACCCTAATCAGAACTTATAGAACTCTGCACTAGGACAATTGTTTTAATGTTAGATGAAAGTTCAGATTCATGCCTCCAGAAGAAATGGCTTCAGATTGTGACCGTAACATCTGCTATGAATGCACAAGAGTAATTTATTCTTGATACCTGGAAGCAACTGTACAATGCTCCCAACTTCATTTTAACTTAACCACTTCCTTTCTTCACATTTTTTCTTTCAATCCACTTATTTCTTAATTCTTCAGATTTTCATGTATTATCATATGCAGATATCTATGGTATTATCATGAGCTCATTTTTCACAGTTTTTTCCTTTCTTTAATCAGAGGACTTTTAGCTGAACAATATCCTAAAATACTCTTCGACATGATGCCAATTATTTGGATAAAACCAAGTAAGTATTGCTGGATCTTTGGCAAATATTTGCTAGAAATATTCTAGAAAATTCATCTCACCATTTTCCCCACAAGAACACAGAAGATTCTATTAATTTTAAATTGTATTTTAAATTTAGCTTGCTTTCTTGCAGCTGTTGTCCAAATTACTTTTCAGAAATCATTTAAGCCATAGAAGTTTAATGTATTTTAATGTTATTATTTGACATAGATGGCAAATACAACTCGGAGAGCGAATTCATTCTTTCTCTGCTAACACGCCTCATGTTAATTTCACTAGAAATAACTTTTAAAATTTATTTTAAAGTTGGTCCACAGAGAAACTATGGGAGAAATCTTTTTCATTTGCCAAATCATAAAAAAGAATGGTGGTGTCCCCCCTCAAGTTTTTCCTTTCTTAGTCAATCTTTTCTATATGATCAAAACATAGTAATCAAGATCAGTCTGTTATAATTCAAGTACAACATTTCTAGGTGTGTGAAATAATGAAAAGCAAAGAATTCTGTGCTATTGAAGCTATATATCTATTTCTTCTGAAACAGCAGACCGTTAGCTAGAATATGTTTTTATCCAAGGTCTAGAGTTTAAAGGTTAGATGTGTAGAGTTCTGGCACATTACAAATTCCATATATCTATTTTTTCTGAAACAGCAGACTGTTAGCTAGAATATGTTTTTATCTAAGGTCTAGAGTTTAAAGGTTAAATGTGTAGAGTTCTGGCACATTACAAATTCTTAATTGGTTAAATGAGCCTAGTTGTAATTGGGTTCTGTGGATACAGATAAGTCACATATCTAGGAACTGGCTTCCAATGTACACTAAACCAGATAGTGTGCAAATATCCAGCATTGCAGCAAAATTATTTTAGCACATATCTTAAAATTATTTTAGCACATATCTTAAATTGTAGTGCCTTTTTCCTATTTAGAAGATAAAGTTTGGAAATCATGCATTACAGCTCATAAATATGAGCATTTACTTTAGTTCCAGTCAAGAAGCTCCTTACACATGTAGGCGCTTAGACATGTGCATGAGCTTCCATATGATCAAAGGTTCTACTTACAATTCATTATCAGAGGCACAATAGCTGAGCAGTATCTCTCCACTGGTTGAGCCCTGTCACCTTTTCCATTTGCCCCTTCTCCCTCTGACACTATCTAGCCCTCTTCCCTTTTCACCGCAGCCTTGTCTTACTTGGCTTTCTTCATGCAGATCCAACAATCCCTGACTCGCCTTTTTCCAGAGTCAAAGGGGTCCTTCTTCCTTGTTGCACCATAGGAAAAGTTGTTAGAAGCCAACCATATGTGCTGTCTTTGTTGCCGAACTCTTGTCATTTTAAGACTACAGATGGAGAAGGGAATTTTCCTTCAGTTAACAAGAAACGTCCTCCACTGTCAAAACTGACATGATAACTAAACTACAATCTTATTCCTGACATGCTAAATTTGCAAGTGTTGGAAAATAATTTTTCACAGGGGGTAGCATTCAAACATTTCATCTCCCACATGCAGTCTGAAACAATACATCTGGCAACAGATGCCTCATGTGGTGGTGGTGGTGCTGCCTGGTTTTGTCTGTCTGTGTATGTACTGTTCAGATTGACTTAAACTGATCATGATCTGTATATCTAGTACTGCTCGTATCGCGATAGCCTTGAGCAGAAAATAAAATTATAAAATAAGATAATGGCTTACTTAGTATATTCATCTGTTGTTTAATTATTGCCCCCATAAATTTTGCCATGGAGGGAGTAACAAAATCATTTATATCCAATAGTGTGATCTGAATATTTAAGTAAAGTTAAACCATGAGATTTCTGTGGTGTCTACTAAATTAAAACATATTAGAGTTAGTATTACAGTTATTTAAACAGTATCCTATATTTTTACTACAATATAATAAATTTTACATCTTGTCTTTTGAAGCAAAAAAATCAGACATAAAGAAGACAAATGCCTATGTCTGCCCACTCTACAAGACAAGCGAGCGTAAAGGAGTTCTTTCAACCACAGGACATTCCACTAACTTTGTCATCGCATTAATGCTAGAAACCAATAAACCCGTACAGCATTGGATTAAGCGAGGTGTCGCTCTCCTCTGCCAACTGGATGACTAATTCTGTTGAATTCAGAATCAGATCTGGCAAGAATGACTGTATTCTTCCCCTAAGCAAGGAACTTTGGTATAGACTTTGATAGATTTGGACTGTTGAATCATTCTGACCTCTAAGATGTAACATTTGACTGCAAATAATTAAATATCATTGCTATTTTCTGTGTAATGTACACATTTCCTTTTTGCTTTTTATATAATAATAGTGTCAAATGTCAGTGTACAATATGACATTGAATATATTATCATTCCGAAGTTGCTGCATTGTCACATTCCCACTGCCGGTAGCCGTGGTGTCTAGAGTCCACTAGGGAGCGCCCCTCCCGCAGGGGAGGTTTGGGGCCAGCAGCGGGGAAGGGCATGCGGACGAGACCACAGGAAAGTCTTTCAAGGTATGAAGAGGAAGGAAGGCCTCAGACCAGGGGCGCACTTCAGAGCAGTTGCACCACCGTTCTTGGCCCCTCAGAGGTTTGACTGCCTCTCCTTCGCCAGCCCTTTCTCTGTGTGTGTGCCTCCTGACGTTTTCCCTCTCTCTCTGTTTCCGTCTCACAGACCTCCTCCGGTTCCTCCCTGGCCCCCTTCCTCTCTTCCTTTTATTGCTTTCCTTATTCCCCGCTCCACCCTTATGTCGGTAGCCACGCCCTCTTTCAAAGGGAGTGACGCTGCCCCACCCTTGTTTTTTCCTCTTCCCGTTTCGGGCTCCTGGGGCTGTTCCCCCCTCGACATTGTGGTCCTCCTCGGCTCCCTGTTCAGCCCTCAGTAGCTGCCGCTCTGCTCTGGCACGGCTGAGTGGGCTCCGCCTTCCCGATGCTGCTCCCAGCTTCCCTGTCTCCTGCCTCTCGTCCCGCTGC